CCCCAAAACCCCAAAACCCCAAAACCCCATGTCTGATAAAGTAATCTATTTAGTTGAGTTGTGTAATTGTGTTATAAATAATTAATAACAATAAGACTTCAAAGCTTTGTCAAATTGTTTACGATAGACCACAAATGAATTTCTTTCAAGTTTTTGAATAATTGATCGCTCATTTTATACTTACTCAAGTAATAGCTTCCTTCATCAGTTACAAAAGTTTTATCATTTGTGAAAATCATTCTCTAGTTAAAGTAATTTTGATTATGTGTTGGTAGAGAGATTAGTCTGAAAGAAAAGCCAGCTCTTACATTGATTATGGTCATATAATCATCTTCTTTAGCCATAACGTATGGGAAGTTGTCGAAAGAGTAAGAAGGGAATTTAGAAATTCCCATGCCATAGGGTGAAAAGCCTTTGCACAAGAAAAATTCTTCTTTCTTGTTCAAGTCTACAACATAATATGAGCAGTCACTATAAGATGATACCAAGAGTACATTTTGATTTATCTCTAGTAGGTCAGTAATATATTTTCCTTGGAGATAAACTTTTGGATCTCTTGATGTTTCATAAGTTGTCAGATTAATGTCCATAATGTGTAGACCACTACCTTTAGTTGCCACTGCATACTTTTAATTCTCACTTAGTTTAATTACCTGGAGAATGGCTTAGCCACCTGGGATTTGTTCACACTTCTTTTGAACAAAGTAGCTGATTTACTGAGTTGAATAGATATAAAGTAGTCCACCGTGAGCACCTTAAATGATATGAGCGTCGTCTGGAACACACATGCAGTGTTACCAATTATTAGTATCTGTATTAGCAAGTTGATAGAATTTACCATTTGGCTGATAAGATATGTTGTACATGCTTTGGTAATGAGATAGCATTTTATCCTTTTAGAAGCCTATTGAGACCAACTATGAATCACTTGGTTCAAGTTAGTTAATAATCTCAAAAGTGGAATCATTTATAATAGTTGCTTTTTTATTTGCATCTACAATGATATCTCCATTAGGCATTCTAGCCATTGAGAAAATACACTAGTCACTTAATTTAGTCTTCAATAATTACTCAACAAATCTTGAATCTAATTCAGTTCTCTTGTATATTTGAAGATCAAATAGCATTCTGTAGAATATAGTGTGGTTTGACCATTCAAAGAGTTAACTCTTAATATCTTGAATTCCAGATCTCAGCTCTCTGTATTGTTTTTCACTTCTTAATTCTTTTTCCTTAATCAATCCTTCAAATTTTTGCATATCAGTATCTTAAGTTTTCATTAGCTGTTTTACATAAGATTACTCCTTCTCAAACTTGGCATTAACTCTATCTTCGAGAGTATGAATTTTCTTAATTAGGTAATTATTCACAGATTTCTAGTTTGACTCTTCAGTAATGATATTTTACTCTGTTTCTCTATTACCCTTTTCACCAAATGATTCCTCAATAACTTTCTAAATAGACATTTCTGACAAAACTTTCTCAAAAGTATTGATTTTATCAGTGTGTTCCTTAAGCTTTTAGTTGAACATAGTCATTAAGTCAGCTCTATTCTCAGCCTCAATAGCTTCAACCTTCTCCATAAATACATTTACATCTTTGACAAACCTCTTTACAATGTCAACTTTCTGCTTATTTTCATCCATTTACTGTTCAAGATGAGCTTGTCCCTCCTCAGAAATTGGTTAACCACTCATAGATTTGAACATAGTACTGCATAGATTTCCAAGTTCCTAGATCTTAATGTCGTAGTTTTAATCTAGGATAGTTGCCCTTTGCTAAAGATCTCTCCACTTATTTTTAGATTAATTGCAGTATGTTTTAGCATTAACAGGCTTATGATTATGATCTGGCGCCTCTTCCTCATTGTCATCCTTTATCAGACAAAAGACACAAAGTAGACTGTTACATATAGTGCAAAATGCTTTAGCATCTTCCTGATGTTTTTAACACATTTGAAATTGAATTTCTTGAATAGTAGAAGTATCCCAGTTAGAAGAATTATCCACTATAGAAGCTGTATCTTCGTTGATTATCATATTTGCTTTTATCTAATTTTATTATGTATACTTATAGAAAATGGATCCATTCATTCTAATGTGCGGGGTTTTGGGGTTTTGGGGTTTTGGGG